TGGGCTGAACCTTGTAGTCTTCCTGTGTCAGCATCCCAGGATGCCAGAATTACAGACATGTACCATCATGCTTTAGATTAAGACTGAGGCTTTAAAAATGATGATCAGAGATTTGTTTTTTAAATGGTGGTGAGTGTAAAATTACTCCCACCTGTGCTAGCACAGGACAGTTTAGTGACATTAATTTTTATGCCTTTGCTTAAACTAATTTAACATGAAGATAAACTCAAATTTAAGGCATTGTCATTGTGGTTGAAAAGGTACTCTCTGTACTAAACCACAGGAGACTCTTTATTCTCATTCACCTGAGATGCAGCATCATCATAGCTTCTGCCTAGAGACACCTTACTTACGTGGACTTGCACATGAAGATAGCTGAGCACAGCACATTCTTAGCAGTGCCGCTGGGCAGGGTCCCAGATGGTGTCATAGTAGAGAGGAGGAGCCCGGGTTCATCCCACCCACAGAATAGGTCTCAGGTTCTCTGACTTCCATCACAGAAAAAGAGTTTCCAGGGTGTGTCAGTAAAAGGTGCATAAAGTAATGTACTGGGCAGAATTTTACAAGTACACACTCAAAGAAATAGAATATGAGCTCTTAAAAAGAGAGAGTTATGGCCTTGACCTGGGAATATGTATAGGGAAGTTGGAGGTAAAAATCTGTAGAACTCGTGAATCTGGACAGAGCGGATTCAATGTGCAAGTGGTCAGCTCTTTCCAAAGGAAAGGGTAATGGCCCATTCATGGAGTGACATCCACTGCTAGTTACCACAGGTGATGGAGCTATAATCCATCCATAAGGGAGAGGCCCATTTCACAGGTGAAGATGGCTGATTGTGTTTTGAGGACCTTAAGAATTTTTGACTGGGTTTGCTCCTGAACCTGTAGTTTGTATCAAAAGTACAATTACAAATTAATGGGCATAGGAGACTGACAGGACAGAAGAAACCAGTGGAGTTTACTATCTCCAAAGGAAATGATCATTGGCTTTAAGTGAGAATACTAACTCTTACAAACTGTGAAATCCACATTTAAGTCATCAGACTGATGAGGTCTAAGAAGTGACAGATATCAGGCTGTTAATAAGGTTGATACAGCCTGGTTTTTATTTATGTGTTGAGTAACAGTGTGTGGCAGGGTTTTGTTGAAGCTAGCACATTCTTGCTGGTAATATAAGGATTACCCAGCATGTGAAGTCAGGCCTGCTTGGTGTGACATCTCACTGCTCAGAACTTCTGCAAGGTGAGCTTTCAGGGCTTAAAACTGATGTATAAACTGGGCGGGAATAACCTGCCAAGACCCAGTGGTGCCTGGCCATGTGTTTCCAGCATCTGCTGTTTCCTGAGTACTGATCTCTCCTTAGTGAAGCCCCGAGGTCCCACCAGCAGGACCAAGCAGTAACCACTGTTGAAAGGGGAGATTGGGTTTTCCGCTTGTTTGCTGCCCAGTTAACTCTTTTAGTCAGTGTCCTTGAAAAGACTTTGTCTTGTTTATTGTTTAAAGAAAATGATTTTTGTATTTTCATGACTTAAGAGCAGCCTGTTAAGCTTCAGTGACTTTAAAGTTACTCAGAGGCCCTGGGGGAAGTATTCCACTTCCCCACCCACATATAGCTCCCTGTGTGGATTGCACCCAGTTTTTACATGCTGTTGACTAGACCTCCAAGTAAGGGCCGCAGGCGGAAACAGTCTCAACTATTAGGAATTAACCTTCCTGAGCCTGTAGCACTTTTAAATGAACAGAAACCTAAAATGGAATTTACTTCCTTTTTGAAACACTACATAATGAATCTCACATCTGTCAACTGACCACCTTGAGCAAAATGCGAAACCTAGTGCTGTAGAAAAAAACTGAAGTTCCCTATCTTTAAGGAATTTAGTGCAGTGGTTGTGATAGCTCAGACCCCAGAATAAAATCCAAGGAAGCAAGAAATTAAAATTTAGGGAGCAAAGGCTTTATTTTAGGCCAGGCCTGGCGACGCAGCCTCCGGGAGCCAATATGGAGACTGCGCGCCTTACAGCTGGATTTTAAAGCTGAAAACCACAGGAATGTTGTGAACTTTGACCCAGTTTGATAGCATCTGGGCTTCTTGGTATCTCCTGTAACTTCCTTGCAGTTAAACGTTTCTTAAGGACAGCAGATTTTATTACAGATAGGCTGGGGGGGGGGGGTTTACAAGAAACTGAAACTTAAAGCTTTTACTGGAAATGGAGACTTAACCTAAAAAGAATGGAGAGGGGAGAGAGATTTACAAGGAGCTGAAACTTAAGTCTTTACTAGAGATGGAATTTTAATCTCTATTGAAATGGCGCATATAGAACAGAAAGGAGGCGCATTGGTTAGAACTAGATTACAACAGTGGTTGGATAACTTAAGACATTTGGGAGAAAAGTCAGAAGCTCAAAGGCACCGATGGATCAGTAGCCTGCTAAGTTCTAAAATCAGCAGCAGGAGGGGGAGGGGACAGGAGCAGACCACAGGCTGGGAGGAGGACACGCCCCTGGTGGGACCCTCCAGGAGGAACCATGCTGAAGACAAGAGCAGACTTAAGAAAGGTGGGGTGGGAAATAGCTGGAAAGAGGCCATGTTAACTTAAGCACCATTTGGTGTTTTGCAGTGAAACACATGATAGGATGCATAGAGGCATATGCTGTCATCTTTTCAGCACCAAGCTAGAGACCCTGAAACCTCTCCCTACCACTCTGTCCTGGGTCAGAAATCCCTGACGAAGAAGAGCCAGGGTCTTAAGTGCGGCTCAACTCCAGCTCACACTTGGCTTCCCACACACCTTGATGCTGATCTGGTTTTGCCCAGAGCAAGGGACACCTCTCCCCTGACAGGCTGTGTCTCAGGACTCCTTCCAAACAGAGGTAGACCTTTTCTGACTGCCTCCTAGTCAGAGTGGCCCTTTCTCTGGACCACTATGGCTCTGCTTCTACATCTGATCTGAACCTGCATAGGATTGATAAATGTTTAAATAAATACTGAGATGGGTTAGTGAACTTAAACACACAATTATTTTCCCAAAGGGGGTTTCTCCAAGTGGAGGTAATGCCTTTTTGAAAAACAGGAGTAGGACTTCCTCCAGGGTAAAGGACAAAATAGCCTGAGGACCTGGAGGGTAGAGAAAAAAAATATATAGCCAAGGTTCACTTAACTGTCCCAAAACAGTTTGAGTCCATAAGTTAAATTGATTCTAAGATTAAATAAAGTTCTATAATTTTGTTAACCAAACAGTATATCTCAAGGCCTTCCATGAACATTTTGGCACATAGTATAGTACGGTAATGGACTAAGCTCTTTTAATATACTTAATCCTTACTGAAGGAGGTCAGGTCTCTGGCCTTCTATGTCTGCCAAGCTAGGAGAATAGAGACGCTTAACTACAAAATGAGAGCACCACCCATGCTTAGGGATTAGTATGCGTTGGTCATTTTTGTCAGATATGCCTGGTCTTGGTTTTGCCACTAGGATGAGGACTGGTGTATGGTCTACAATATTCATGTGCTGTGAAAAGTGCTAAGTGAGCAACCGTAAAACCTAAGCCGACCAGTAACATTTCGTGCCTATGTGATTGTGTGCAGGTGAAAAGACCACATGGGTCATAAATTAGGATTAAAATTAGCAAATCTGTGATAACATCTTATTTTGTCTTAGCTTATAGTTTAGCTACCAGTGAATTCTCACGGCCTCAGAAATGTTTTCTTCGCTGCACAGACTGACATCCACAAAGACCTGATCATGAATTGTACCTTCTCTTTTTCCTTCAGCATTCCTTTTCTTTTGCTTTCCACTTTGGAAACTACCCCTGGATAGTTTTCAGACTACCAACAGAAGGAGCTAGATTCTGCATCTACTACAGTGCATTTATTAGTGACTCAATGTATAAACTATCGTGCTTTATCTTCCTCTTAACTCCCTTCCATTCTCTGTCTTACCCAAGTTAGACCTAATTTCCCAAAATCCATTGTTCGTGACTGTACACCATCACTATCCTAGACCCTGGTGTAATGTAAAGATGCTATCACAATGAAGAGGTAATAAACGGGTGAATGCGTAGTTGAGAAGGTGAATGGATGATTGGTTGGGAGGATGGATGAATGGGAGAGAGAGAGAGATTGAGATTATATACAGAAACACCTTACTCATGGACAGAACCAAGATGCAATCCCAGCCAAAATAGATGCTAGGTTTGAAGGGAGGGTAGGGGAATGGGGGAAAAGGAAAAAAACCTTACAAGTTTTATCATGTAGAGGCACAAATTTGCTATGATGAATGTGATCATTATATGTATCTAAAATATACCAAAAAAATCTTATTGAAAAAAAATAGATGCCAGCTCTATGAACTTGGGCAAGATGCTCAGTGAGAGCCTTAGATTTTTTATCCATAAAATGGAAAGTAATGATCCCTACCTCACCTGGGCAGTCATAAAGATTAGAGACTGTAAATTGCCTAGGAGACCTGCATGTTTAAAACTGGAACCCAAAGTGGGACCTTCATCGGTTACAATAGGTGATAAATGACCTGTGAGAAGTGCAAACAAAGGGAGGAATTTCCCAGCACCTGCGCCACTCAGCCTGCTATGGGTGGGGTGTGTGTGTGTGTATATGTGTGTGTTTGCCCTGCGCCTGCTCAGGGCCCTCCTTCAGGTGCTCCTCTGCCTCTAGGTGATCCGCTGCCACAGCACACACTTACACTGGGCAGAGCTGACCACATGGGCCACAAGCTCCCTCCTGGGAACTGAGCAAGGCCCTGCATGGTCAGAGGTTACCGAGAAGCAGTTGTGATCCGCAGTTATTGCCCCTGAGGCCCCAGCTAGTGAAGCAAAGTTAAGACTGGGGATTGGGAAAGGTCACACAGCTGTCAAAGCTGATCAACCTGTCAGTACCTGACCAAAGATCATTCCTCCCTCGGCCAGGGGAGGTGGTACCACTTTACCATTTTTCTTCCCACCTCCCTCTGGATGTCTAAGGTGAAGCGCTTTATTCTCTTCTTTAGCTCAGAGACTGAAAATGGCGTGGATGAGAAAAAGAAGACCTGCAAGTCACAGACAGCCCAATCCCCTGTCCCGTCCGCGGAGGCCGAGTCCCCAGACCAGAAGAAAAGCATTTGCCTGCGGTGAGTTTTCACTTGGCTTTTGTTACTGGGTTGTGGGAAGTGCTAGCATGTCTAGTTTTACAATTGTTGTTAAGGGTGAGACTCAGCCGTAGGTAAATGAAAGGCCCCAGGCTTGCGTTCCTTTCTCCTTAGCAGTGGCCATTTCTTCTTCAGTCCCAGCCTTCTGCAGATCGGCGCCCCTTTTTGAAAGCGCTGATTCTGCAGAGGCGAACACCACTCAGGTGGAGGTTTGGAAGTCCTGGGAAGGTTGGACTGACTGCTTGAAAGGTGCTCAGCCTTGGGTGTGCACACCTGGCCTGCTTTCCCAGGAGCCACAGCAAAGAGTGGAAGATAACCTATCCCAGGAAGCAGGCGGGCATTGTGTCCTGTGCCTGGGAAGCCTGGTGCGGTGGTGGACCAGCAGAGAAGTGATCTGAGATGTGCACTTATAGCCCCATCCTGAGAAGCACCAGCTGCCATGCAAGGTCTTAAAGCTGCATTTTAGCCCTTAAAAGAGAGAAACAAACTAATGCGTAGTGATGGGTAAAGAAGGGTTGTTGTGATTTATTTTGATTTTTTTACAGCACTGAAGCTTGAGCCTAGGGCCTGGAATATGCTGGCCAATACTGTACCGCTGAGCTGCACTGCCTGTCCTAAATGTAGTTGTTTCTGTGCTGAGGAGTGGTTGCTCTCCTTTCCCACCGTTAGAACTCAGAACTACCTTTTCCCTCCTTTGGCCTCTGCTAAGCGGTAGCTAACAAATTCATGCTTTGCACTTTTTTTCCTGGTTCCTCAGCCCATATTTGCTCTCCAGACCCATATTTCATTCAAGGCCAAACATAAGACTTAGCTCTTCCCTCAGATTTCTCTCTTTAGACTCCTGTTCCTAATAATCCATTAGTCTTTTGGGATGCCTGATGTGACATCTTGTTTTTTGCCATTTTTTCTATAATGGTTTTTCATCAGAGAATCCTGCCTCACAAAGTGAGTTTTCGCGTTATCTTACCGCTGTTGACAATCTATAGCAGTCACCTTGAAAACACTGCTTTTACCCCAAGTTCTCCATGTTTCTTAAGGACAACTGTACATACATCAGCAGTGCACTGTGGGTATGTGCCTTGTGCCATCAGAGAGGCCCCTGCACTGCATTAATGCCCTGTTAACGTTGTCTAGCAAGTCTTAATAATGTAGTGTAAGGGACCCCATACTTGCCATTTTACGGTGGCCTCCAGTCTCACTCCAAGACACTTGTAGAAAGTGTGTAAAGTGGTTAGGAATTGCTGTCTCCAAGATTACCAAACAGAGCTGCCCTACTTGGCACATTTGCCTACGTACATAGTTCTTTTTTTTTTTTTTTTTTTTTTTTTTTTTTTTTTTTTTTGTCTTTTTTGAGATGGGCTATCACTCTGCAGTTCAGGCTGGCCTTGAGCTCACTTTGTAGCCCAGGCTGGTCTCGAACTCACAATGATCCTCCCACCTCAGCCTCCTAAGTGCTGGGATTACAGGCATGAGCCACTACACCCGGCTCCTGTCCATAGTTTTTTAGAAGATCTGACCATTTCCTTGGCAGTTCCTTAGTATTTGAATCAGTAGAGGCGATACATTCAAATTAGTAGGTCATATGAATAAAATGGAATTTGGCATTTGTGAAAAATAATTCCATCCTCAAATAGAACACAAATGTTTGCTCTTAGTTTCTAAAAAAGTAATCCATACAATCCATAGGAAATTTTTATATGTGAATAGGTTTAAGGCCTATAGCTAAAATCAAATACATTTACCCTAAACTTCTGAAAAGACTTAACCTGTGACTTGATATTGTGTCTTGGAAGACATTGGAAGCAGCCTAGGACATGATATGATCCATCTTATCACAGCAGAGAAAAGTCAGTGCCTGATGTATCTCTCAAAGCATTGCTCATTTATGCCTCTCTACCATACCTGAATTATTTCAGATTCTTCCTAAATCTCTTGATCTAAATCCAGAGCCTTGTTTTAAAGAATAATAAATATAGAATCAGATTTCATGGGTACCATTTTCCTAATAAGGCACATGCATCATTATGAAATTTGTTCACATGTATATTACTTCTGGCAACCACATATACATTCTGCTTGGAAATGACTTGTTAGGGTTGTAGTGTTGAAGGGTTGTGCAGATTGACATATCTGCTTCAGTGAAGAGCTAGGACCACAATCACCTTAGAGAAAATTCTGAAGCTCTCTGACCTCTGCCCTTAAAAAACAAGAAAGACTTGAATTTAAATATGCTTCTTCCTTCCTTCCTTCCTTCCTTCCTTTTGTCTTTTTTTCTGCTATTCTTCCATTCTTCCTTCCTTCCTTTCTTTCCTTCTTCTGATGTCACTTTTATTATTCTCCCAACTTTGTCTCTTTTCCTCATACCCAGTGCCTTGCTTATCCTGTAAGGCTGTATATATTACACCCACACTGTTCTGTTGTTCTGCTCCTGCCTCTCAGACTTACTGTCTCCATAGCTTCTCCTGACTCCAGTGGTACGTATTGCTAAATCAGGCACCGCCCATTTAGAAAATGTTTGATGCTGTGTACACAGGCTCCCCAAGAATAATGACTACCTGTGTCACCAAAGCATGTAACACAATCCCTAACTCAATTCAATTAATACTTGTTAAATAGTAGTGGGTTCTGAAACATTCTTTGATTGGACTATAGTTGTAGTTTAGTAATTTGCCTCAACCAGACCTCTTTATACAGATTTAAATACTTTTTAAGTAGCATTGTTAAATAATATAATTATTTTCCCATCTCAGTTGCTGCTCTGCAGTTCATGATTAGTTTGTGAAAGACGTTCTATGCCTACCATATGTGCTGTGTAAATGCCCTTAGAGTATCATTAATGATTATCTAGAAGAGAAAAACAAATGTCATATTTTCTCGTGACTTGGTATAATAATTGAGATTTATTACAACAATGATTAACATAAGCAATTCACTTTACAGTCTCCCTGGATTTTATTTTCCTAGATCAAAATCCAGTTTCGATGGTGCCTCTTTAGCAGGTGACAAGAACAACTGTAAAACAGAAAGCAAAAATGATCCTAAGACGGAAAGGAAAAAATCTTCATCTTCTAGCCAGGTAACAGGAATGAAGTGTTGTCTCGGAGAGTAACAAGCATTAGAGCCACTGGGAAGAAAAAACCCAAGCATGCAGCTTCCTGCTGGTCAGGGCTCACCTAGGCATCAAGTTTACAGAATGTAGAAGATGAGACACGTAGCAGTTTCTCTAATCAATTTTTCATCGATATTAGGATCCACAGGTGACCTCTCAACGCCTATTGAGGGACAGTTAATGCCCAGCTGTGGCCTCTAACTCTGTTGAGTACTCAGCAGAGCCTGGCAGTCATGGACTTGTCTAGCAGGAAGGGAGGGTGACATCCTTGTATTAAAATCGCAGTCTGATAAGAAACTAGCTCACAAAGCAAGACTTACGAGCAGTCACAGTTCTTTAGAAGTAATTTTATTTCTTTAAAGCCCAGTTTCATCATACAGTGTGATATATTTACTAGAGGCTGGAGCTTGAAGATTTTGGTTTTTGGTTTTAATTGTGAGAACTGAACCCAAGGCCTCTTACATTAAGGATGTATTCTGCCTCAGAGCTACAGCTCTGCATAGCCCAGGGTTTTCCATTGTCATTACTTTTTGACACATTGCCTCTTCATACTTGAATATGTGTCGACTAAGAACTAGAATAAGTAAATAACATAAAAATTGGTGGAACACTCATGAAATTTAACTAGATAGCAAATTATTTAAGTTCCAAAGTTATCCTAGTTTAAAAAAAAAATCTCCTTTTTAAAAGTTTTTGTTATTTTCTTCTCCAAAAATCAAGAGTTAGGTATATTTGTGGTATAATTTTAATTTAAGTTGATCTACTACCTTTTGGGAGGGATTTTTTTTTTTTAAACAGCAATTATGGGGCCAGTTTTGCCATAGAGACAATTCCTGTTTGGATAATAAGCCACCAAAGCCTAGAAATGTATCTGATTCTCCTTTCAGACTTCTATGAAAGCCTCCCAGGAGGCCGAGGAGGAAGGACCTAACTCTGGCTATTAGGAGCTCTGTGGTAGGGGTCCTGTGACTCAGTATTCCCAACACAGTGTCCAACGCCTGCACTTGGATACCATGTTCTCAGTGGGAGGATGACGTTGTGAAAGCAGTTCAGAAATTAAACTGCTGGTTATCCATTATTGTTGCAGAGACAAATGCCTTGAAAATGAAGCAATTCGTAGCATTTCAGACTCTTAGTCCTTGTGCTACCCCAGAAGTTAAGTCTCCTGTGTCAGATCTTCCTTCCGTCCTCTGGTCACTAAGCAAATGCCACACACTTCACAGTAGTGACCACACGTCATGCCAGGCGGTGGGTTCTTCTGACGTGTTGTCACACAGCAGCATGCGGCATCCCTCCTAGCAGGTTATAGTTTTGCCCACTGGTTCAGAAAAGGAAACTAAGGTATAGACACATTATGTGAGCAGGCCCTTGTCACAACAAGGAGGAAGCAGAGCCAGAAGAGTCCAGGTGTAGTCGAGTACAAAGCCTTGAACGCCTGTGCTCTGTGCGGGTACACACTGGTATCTGTAGTGCCCCAAGCTCTAGTGCCTTTACCAGTTAAGAGTCTTCACTGTTTTCTCTCATTGCTTATCAGGAAGATCCTTGTCCTTCCCTGTTATGTGAGCTCACCACTGGCTACACCCTGTATCCACCCAGCAGGGTATTAATCATATTTGAAAGTAAAATTTCTGTATCCCAACCTCTGCTGTGTCTCAGTGAAGAGTGTATTGGAGACTTAGAAGGTCAGAGAGTACGAATTCTAAAAGATAGTGTAAAAGGAGGAAAAATTTGTTATTTAATTGAAATTGGGTTTACAATTGGTGACATTCCTCAAAAACACATAACAGTGTCTGCCTTCTGTCCTCCTTTAGTACAAAGCGAACATGCACTTTCACAAGTTGTTCCTTGATGTGCCCACCGAGGAGCCCCTGAGACAAAGTAAGTTGTGACCTTTCTGACTTCCTAAGCTGTATTTGAAAAGTTCCTCACGAGTTGAGAAGGAGGGCACATTCTGGGGACCTAGTTACCCAGGGGAGTGGGTTTCTGAATGGATTAGATCATGTGGTACTAATTTTCCCACAAACGCTTTGAAAGGTGAGAGTGTGGGCCCGAGAAACTGGATTGCATCACGGATGTGGCTCCTCCAGGCATGGTCTAGAATGATCTCTTTGCCTTTTGTATTTGTTGCTGAAATGAAGAAAATTCAATCTTCCCAAGGTTTAAAATAGTAAGCCTAAGGCAAGAGAGGCTTAATAGAGAAAGGTAAAAGGAAATACAAATCTAAGTGGAGCGCTGTGTTTTAATACCTTGTGTTTTAACGTGCTATGCAGGACATGGCGTTCACACCTAAACACTTTCCCAGCATGCCAGGTCAGTGTGAGCCTCACGGTGGGACCTGAGTTTACCTTTTGCCTCCCTCAGTATACAAATGTTAAGACAAAGCTGGATTCCTGCTATGATCTCTAGGCAGGGTGTATAGCTGTATGTGCTTTCCCCAGGAGACTGTGTGGTTCATTAGAGAGTCCTGAGTGACGCTCCCTGGGGAGGAAAGGCTGGGAGTAACGCATCTTCCTAAACAGAGTAGTTTTTTGAGGTACCAAGTTTCTAGTGTGTCATGGTAGACTTGCCTTTTAGTCTTGATTCCATATGACTTTAAAAAACTATAGTGACCAAAAAAAAAAATAGAGGCTGGGGATTTAGCTCAGTGGCAGAATCGTTTGCCTGGCAAGCGCAAGGTTATGAGTTCAATCCCCAGTAGCAAAAAAGCTATAGGGACAGCAACTTTAGCCCACTGAAGATAATTGAAAAGGGTGTGTTAGAGTTTTGGAGAGTGAGTATATATGTATGTATATATATGTATCATCCCTGCCCAACCTTGAGTCACCAAAATATAAACAATTTTTGTTTTAAATAAATAGTATTCTAGTGGAATTCTGAAGGACCTCACTGTATTCTTGCAGGCTTTACCTGCGCTCTACAGAAAGAAATACTGTACCAAGGAAAGCTCTTTGTATCAGAAAACTGGATTTGTTTTCATTCCAAAGTCTTTGGGAAAGACACTAAGGTGGGTATGATGTTCACAGAAGAAAGTTAGACCTGTATTTTTTATATATTGTAAATATAAATTATTTTAAATTTAGCTTATTCACATCATGATTATGCCATTTTACCGAGTTTCTTTTGTGATAGCACCAAATACGACAGATACTGGATGCCTCCAGGTCACACTGGCCTCTCTTTTTCCATAACTACTGCTTTCACTCGTTTCCTTCACTCTGTACACAGTCTACCTCCACCATCTCACACCCTAAAGCCCTTTTACGCAAACGTCACCAGGGACACTCGAGAGTTGTTCTTAGGGGCAGAGTGCCGTACCTTATTTTGAAGGCATTCATTAAAACCAAAACATTTTTTAAAAGAATTACTAATTTTTGCACCTTGTTCGTATCTGTTAGCAGAGAGGTGTAAGCCCTCTGACCTCTAAATAAACTGTTTCCCTTCGTTAGCATGAATGAACAGGACCTGGAGCACTGTCCTCTGGGAGCATCACAGGCAGAACCCCATCTTTTTATAGGACTGGTGGATCGTTTCATTCTCATCAGATACAGATTCAGGAGGGCAAAGGTGCAGGACAGCCTGCAAGTACATGAGAATTGCTGGAGGCACCAGCAGTTTGCCCAAGGCACCGACTTCTAAAATTGTGTTGTAGAAAGAGAAAAGACAGTCCCCACCCGCTTGCCTTTGAGCAGGGCATCTGAGTAAGTCAGAGAAATGTCTTTTCAGGTTTGTGTGACTTCAGTGAGTTTTCAGTCATTTGAGTCAAGATTATGAATTGGCTTTTAGAATCATAAAAGTAACTGATTAGAAAGCCTTTGTTTTGAGTAAACATACTGCATTTAAATAGTCTCTTTAAAGCCACTGACAATCATATAAAGACCACTCAGCAACTACAATAATTCTTCATTTTGTTGGTATTAAGATGATAAAGTAGCATACTATTCTTTGAGTTATGTTATTCTTGTGTTGTTTATTATACAGAGTATTTATAAACATTTTGATTCAAGGTATTATCTAAATCAGTATAATGCAAAGCAGTATTAAGTAGTCTCCCAGCATATTTCTGTATTTTTGGATTGTAAGAAGTTTTTATAGAAGAGGGTTGACTAGTGTGAAGAGTTCCCAGGGAATCAGAGTCAGTTGCTCTGAGAAGACCAACACCAGTGGGGCTGAAGACATTTTGTGAAGAAAGAATTATTCATTTTTAAGCGAAGGGGGCCTTCATGAAGGCAGTGAGAACAGTTTCAAGCTAATGCGATTCTAGCAATGTTTTAAAAATTCTACTTCCTGGCAGAGAAGTGACAAAAGAAACCAAAAGGGGTGACACTAGTCTCTTAAAGACATGGGTTGCTTTTGCATATGCTGCGTCCTACCTGTAGAATTAGGAGATGGAAAGTTAGAAGGACATGGGAGTAAGCCCCATGACTTGTTTTTCTTCCCTTCTAAAGATGTATCGAGAGAGAGATGTGCAGAATTTCCCGTCAGCAGACCTCCACCCAACATGATCATTACAAACTGAAGCACCCAAACAGTAGTGCATTAGCTTTAGAAGAAAGAGCTTTTTCAGACTCTAGTCTGAAGAAATTCTAATAAGGTATAGCCTCACTTAAATCAGGGTCCTTTAATCAGCCTGTTCAGCTGCTGGTAAAATTAACATGTGTTTCCCATCCCATCTTCTCTCACTGAAGAGTCATTTCAAAATTCACAAATATCTGGTTGTGATTTTTTAACTTAGGAAGTAGCTGATTATAAACTTCTTAAGGCTCATAGCTACGTAGAGACAAAAATAGGCTCATCAGTTCCCTGACTATAGATTAAATTATTATTGTTTCCAAAGTTGTCTCAACTTAAAAACTTAGAATTATCTCTTGCCCTAGAAAATTTTTGTTGAATAAAATTCTTTTAGTAAAATAACTTTAAGAAAATATCTAGTTTCAGTTAATTCCTCATTCTTCATATAGTCTTCTGCCTGAAACTTGGCAGTATAGCAAATAACTCCACCTCAGGAGCCCACGTGAAAATGCAGATATTCAAAATTAAAAGCTCATGCCCTTTCCTTCAATCCTCATTACCACTGCTTCGCACAGATCTTGTTGAACTCTAGGAATACTGTACATAAATACTGTACATAAATACTGTACATTTTTATGAACTGGACATTCAAATTTGTGTACCCATGGGAAGAGACAGATATTTTCATTTTCCATACCTGTGTGTGACTTTATTTTCAAGGATCAAAGTATCTGAGTTTCCTTTCAAACCTATCCTAGTTGGATATAAGAATATAACAAATATCAGAAATGTCTGCTATTTTTTGTGCCATCTGATATATTTTTAACTTTTTACATGTATGACTATTAGCAAGGCATGTATCTAAAGTTAAGTAAATTTCATTATCTTTTAAAATAGCCATGTTACAGGGTCATCTTAAATAACATTATCATCTAATAAATAAATTTTGTCAGTCACCATTCAGCTTTATATGAAGAATGGAAAAGATGTGGTTGAATTATATTTTCTGTGGCAAACTGTTATCACATACAAAGTATTCCTCTTAGCATTACTTACTGCAAAGTTATATTTATGAAATACTAAGATCATTATCACAGAAGGAAAGAACAGAAACTAGAGCTCCAGTTTCAACAAAAATAATACGAAAGAGTATTATGATAAAACATTTAAACAATATTGGATAAAAGAAGTGAAACACTAGGATAGGTGCTGTTATTAATCTTCCTCTTAAAAAAGCAGTTCCTGGGTGTTTCGATGGTTTTTTAAAAATAACGATCATCCCATCCCACCCACATTTGGTCTGTTTCCACACTGCTTAGTAACAATCCCATGAGATATCTTGAGTCCTACTGGGTTACCTCCGAGGAGTCCCATCTGCCTGCATGTCCATGGTGGAGGCCGCTGGGTGCTGGGCTCGGCCTATAGCAGGACGGCCTGTGCTGCTTCCTCAATGGTAGATGCAGCTCTCTCCAGCTCTTCCTCTATTTGTTCCACTGTGGCCACAGCTCTGATGATTGGAGGAGGAGGCATTTCTCTTCTTTCTCTAAGTAGCGTGCCTGAGTTAATGCAATACTTTTTTGCCCATGCACTGACTTACAATTTCCTGAAGCAGTTTCACATCTTTTTCTCGAGATCCAGTGCTGTCTTCCAGTTGTAGATGAAATGCTGGAGAAAAGGACTCCCCCACCACTTTTAATCCAGAAGTGCCTTGTAAAGCTTTATGAATCTGTTGGCACTTTTTCTTCAATACTGCAAAAATGTCTGGGTTCTCTTCCATGATGTTAAGGGCCTCAATGGTGGCAACAGCTAACAGGAAAGGTAAAGATGCTGAAAAGCAGTATCCCTGGCCAGAGAGTCACTGGTGGTCAATTACAAAAGACCTGCCACAACAAAAACCACCAATGGAAGCAAGTGAGTGCCATGTTGGCACTGCTAAGATGAACGTCATCAGTACTGATCCTGTAGTGCTCAGTGTCTCCTCAGCCATGCTCCCCAAGAACTCCAAATGAAAGGCTTTCCTCCAGAAGGACCTTGCCTTGTATTTGTATTTTAACTTAACGAACTCCGGAAGAGGACAAACACTTCCGGTATTCACATACAATCCTTCTAATGATGAACCGTCGAGTCTCACACGAGCCGTGCGAGCATTCTTTTGATCTTCAATTTCGTGTTCTTTTTAGTAATTGTTCCAGATCAGCCACATCATTATGATTAAATAACTTAATTTCATGATTGAGGCCTGTAATCCCTTCTGAATAGCAAAGCAGGCTGCTCTATCTACAAATACGATGGCCCCTTTTTTAGAGTAAGAAGAAATTGCACTGGCTATGGTGGAAAAGCCATGAGTATATAATGGCTTCTTCAGTCTTCATAAATTTCGCCAGGTGCCCTTCCAAATCCAAATGAACATCAAATGTCCCATAAAAGCCTCTAGATCCACAGGTCCCCAACACCATACTTCTTTAGAGATGCTAAAGCTGCTGCCTTCACCGAAGGGTTATCTAGCAATCCAAGAAAATTAAAGGAGGCAAAGTTTACAGACTCTTTCCCATTCCCCACAATCTTGTGGCTTGGAGGGCCTGAAACAGTGTTATAGTTGAGAGCAGGATGGTCTTTGGAGACAGGAGGACCCAGAGGTTCTGGCTGCCACTCTTCAATCAATTCCTCCTTTTCGTTGATTGTAAGATCAGATTGTTCTTGTAATTTATAAGTTTTGAAGAAAAGAAGTCTGATTATCCACAGTATTAAAATTCCTTCTAAAATAAGATGGGAAGCAGGAGCCTCGTAGAGTGCCTGCCATCTCCCCCAGTACCCAGTGCTCCGCCGCGGCCACCATGGTCAGCCTCCGGACTTCTTCCCGGGAGGTAGATCACTGCTGTGTGACACAAGGGGCAGCGCAGTGCAGAGCATACATAAGTACTAATAATGGTAGATTCTACAGTTACAAATGGTTTTATTAGAAGCAGAATAAACTGGATTTTTCCCCCACCCATCTGGATTTCATGAGTCAAATGAGGAAATTGATGAACTTCTTGTTTCGTACCAGACATTTTTTATATGTTATATCATTTATTCCATAGAAAACTGAGAAGTAGACAGGATTGTCTCTGACATATAGATCAGGAAAGAGGAGCCCAGAATAGGTAACTTCCGTGTTTGGGTAGGTCATGTAGACAATAAGACAGCTGACTGCACACCTAAGACTTCTGCCCAGCGGGGACTCTTGGAGCCGGTGCTTGTTAGCATTCCTCCGCCACCTGCACCCAGCGCAGCGGAGAGAGTTCATGCAGATTGGTCCAAAGTGGGGACCACAGGCTTGAAACTTGTGTAGCCTCAGGCTCTAATAAATGACAGTGGATATAAATCCCCCACTCTGTTCACATATCCCACCAAAACACTAGAAGTAATGATCGTGGTCACCCTCTGGCTTTGTGACTGCCAGTTTGAAGAGCTCAGTGACACCATTGATACTGGTGTTGATTACTGTGAATGCTATTTTCTTTTTTTTCTCTAACATACGGCTTTGAAGCACTGCTCTGTGAAGTCTACACCAGTATTAACTTTCTGATTCTGTTTCAGATCTCTATTCCGGCTTTTTCAGTAACCCTAATAAAGAAAACCAAAACTGCTCTTTTGGTGCCAAATGCCCTGATTATAGCAACAGTGACTGACAGGGTGAGTATACTGCCGGGCAGGGCACCTTTGCTTTGTTTGCTTTGTCTTCTTGCAGTCAAGATTTGCAAGTGAAACAATTTAATACAGGACACATAATTTATAGTAGTCACCACCTCAAGAGTCAAATGCAGAAGAGTGCAGGAAATCTGTCCATACACTAGAGACCCAAAGAATCCAGTTGTGGGCCTGGATCCCACAGCAATGTCCTGCATGAGTCCAGCTAAAGATCAGGAGCCCGTGACAATGCCCCCATGAGTCCAGCAGGAGGCCTGAGGCGCACAACAATGCAAGTCTATTTCATGGATCCACACTGGGACAAATCAAAGTTAAGTGGTAGAAGCTAGAAAGTGTGTGTCAGAGGGATGAGGAATCTGCCAGCAGGCTAAGAGATCTGCACTGGAGTCAGGAAGTGATGCTTAAAGTGAAGACCGGAACTCCCCTTGAAAAAGTAACGCAGCCATCCTCAATGACAGCAAGGTCCTGAGCTCCTCCAGTGAGCTGAGTTTGTATCAGGAAAACCAGCGTGACAAGCTTCTCCAGGAGAGTCAACAGCATGCGTCTATCCCTCTGGTTCTCCTTTTACTGTGCTGGCAGCCATCCTCAGGCAGGCCTTCCACATCCAGCACCACACTGATTTAGTTCAGCTAAGCATCACCTGTTGTCAATCCACCACTGTTCTGTTACCTTTCAAGTTTCTTAGCAAGGACTAAGCCTGAACCATAGATACCATCTTCTTCTGTGTTGAGGCAGAGATGTTCTTTAAGACTAGCTTCTAAAATTATAGGCTAGAGACATTTGTGTGATATGGTTTCCCTTATAAGATGATTTATCTAATATAATTATTGCCAATTTTGAATTTCCTGCTGACTTAATTATACTTTCCTGACCAAGATCAAAAAAATAACTTTTTTCCCAACTTTCCTAACATCTGTTTGTTCAGGCTACACTTATATATTTTCTAGAAAGTGCCATGTGTGTTAGCACACACTTGTAGTCCACACTTGAGAGGCTGAGTCAGGAAAATTACCAGACCTCAACAATACTACTTCCAGCCCCAAAGAAAAATTAAAACACAAGAACAGTAACAGCCTTGCTGACAGGGTAAAGCAGGATGACTCTGAGCACTCATGGGATAGAAGTGATTAGCCTCCTCCTCACCGAAGTAGGTCCCAGATATATCCCCAGAGAGGACGTCCCCAGAGCATGCAATTAGAGCTTTCAGGACCTGTTCTAAGATTCAACAGCCTCTGTCCTGTCCAGAAATGGTAGAGATGTTGTGACTGTCCCGAATGTGTACAAGCAAGTGTTTGCACTGAAACTAGCGTTTATGGACAGGCTGTGTGTGAGCAGAGAAATTTCCATTGAAAGTAGCATCTATGAATGGGGCGTCCGGATTAGTGGCTGAGTACTTGCCTGGTGTGCCCGAGGCCCTGGGCCTAATCTCTAGCACTGCAGAGAAGGGGAGGAAAGGAGGATGGAGATGAGGGGAGGGAGGTGAGGAAGAGAGAGGGGCAAAGGAAGAAAGAAAATTATTAACCTCAGCTTGACAGAAGAAAGGGACTGGAGTAATTTGGTTACTCATTTTTTGTTGAAATCATTAATCTTTTAAATCTTGTATGTATAATTTTTATGAACACATAAAAACTATGTTCCAATTCTTACCGTCCTTATGTGAAAACTGTGTTTCATTTCTCACCATACTTATAGAGGGAAAGGGGAATAGAAAGATAAAAGATGCTGTTGTAGAAAGCTCAAAAATAGGGCCGGGGGTTTAGCTCAGCAGCGTAAGTACCTGCTTGGCAAACTCGAGGTCATGAGTTCAATCCCCAGCACCAAAAAACAAAAACAAAAAAAAAAGGCTAAAAAATAAGTTAATACAAGTATTTTGACCTTTTTGTTTGGATGTGTGTTTTTTGGTGTGTTTGTCTGTTGAGACAGGGTCTCGCTATGCAGTTCAAGTTGGCCGTGAGCTCACTTTGTAACCCAGGCTGACCTCAGACTTCCAACAATCCTCTGCCTGAGCCTCCTGAGTGCTGGGGTTACAGGCCGCTTCCACCACACCCAATTTGAGATTCTTTTTTAAAAAAATACAAATGGCTAACAACAGGCACACATCCAGTGCTGTGTCTTTCATATTTTCTCATGAAGTCCGTACCACCACCCTGTAGTGAAATGTTCTTAAGCAGTATCCCCAGGATGACCCCTTAAGTGTCAGAGCCACAGTTCCCAGCTGGAGGCAATGGCAAACCCCGCAGTGTTCCCCACTTTGGAATCTATAGCATTCTTTTGTTGGTGAATAAGAGGGAGCCAACCTCTCATTCACAGAAGAGGATCTAAAAAGATTGCATGGCTCACATAGATGAACAAAGAGTAAATCTTTGTATTTTCTGAATGTGCTATTTATGGTTTAAAAAGAATTTTGTCATTTGTCTCTAAAGTATTTGGCTCTTATTTTACTCTTTTCCCATAAGCATCCAGTAGAAAATCTCCATATTTGTGCAGGAAGAGTTTGAAAGTAGCATGAAAAAGAACTGGCCTGTTTGAGCCCCTGGGAAGTTGAGTGCAGATCTAGGTCAGAAGAGAAAAAGACCCATGGCGATTGCTAAGTACCCTTCAAAACAGCAGACTTTGCTGAGGGAAGAGGATCTGGCAGTATCCTTCTTTCTTCTCTTCATGTTTGAGACATTCCTATCTTTCCAGGCACATATTTTAGACTTGGAACCTTCGTTTTGCACTGCATTTCCGTATTAGTCTTAAATTGATTTGGGCTCATATTGCATTGTGGGGCAATATACTTGCTTTATTCCTGAAATGACATAAAACTGGTAGGTGAGAAGAGGGAAAATACAGACCAGAGGATGGTCTGTGTCATTGGAAAATGAAAAATACATACAAACTTTTTTTAACTAAAAACTCTCACTTCCACTCAGATAGTGTCTCATAATTATTCTCTTTTCTTTTTCAGTATATATTTGTCTCTTTGCTTTCCAGAGATTCGACTTACAAACTGCTCAGATCTGTATGTGGACACTTAGAAGTGAGTGTGGCTTCTTCATGAGCTTCAGTTCCTGCCTTTCTTTTGTATTTTTTATGATTTTTTTATGGTAGTTGGTCTGGCTTTTCATGTTTTTCAATCGTTTCAGAATACCAGTGTTGGTAATAGTCCCAGCCCATCTTCTCCTGAAAATTGTTTCAGGGCAGATCACCCCTCATCTTTGCCACTGGTAAGTTGCCTGCATCACTGTCCGATCTAAATCAAAAGGGACTGGCCACCTGGCATACTACGCTCTGCTCACACCTTGATAGAGGGTGGATGACTGGGCCCAGGGCTGCAGACACAGTGGAAGACAGGGCCTGTCTCCCCAGAAGAGGGAACCATAGGGGGCCATCAGCCTTCTCCTAACTATTGAAAAGTGTTCCATAAATGAAAAGGAACACGGTAACAGTCTGACGTGATGAGTTACTAGTCACCGGAGGTATTCATGAGGTGTCACTTTATTTGCTCATCTTTTTAAAAATATTGTGGATTAATCCCAGGGCTTCACGCATGCTCAACAAGTACTCTAGGACTGAGCTACATCCCCAGCCATCCATACTGTTGTAAAAGTATTCACAAATCTATAACGTATATATACTACTAATCGCTGTTAGTTCGTCAAAACAGTTTATGCTGTCATTGTTTGATTGATCACTTTTGTGCCTGGATTTTGTAACCTGAACAACTACTTCTAAGATAACAACATGCAATATATTACCTAGTGTTAATTCCTTACTTTTTAAAAAATTTTCTATCATTTGTACCCTTTTTTTCTGTTTTGCTTTTTTTTTTTTTTTTTGGTACCGGGATTGAGCTCGTGACCTCATTCCTGCCAAGCAGTCACTTACACTGCTAAGCTAAACCCCCCACCCATCTGGTTTGCTTTTTAAATTTTTTTTTAAAAAAGTATTTATCAATCTCTTTGAGGAAGGACATGAGTCACCCAGTAGATGTCTTCTACGTTCAAGGTGCTCTGCAAATGTATCCTATAGGATACCAGGAAAAATCAAAACTGATTCTTACCTTCAGAGATTTTACAGCTTAGAAAAGCAAATGAGATAAATTCAGAAATGACAAAAAAAAAAGGAAAGAAAGAAAAGAGAGAGCCAAACAGGGTGTTAGACCCCTATAATCTCAGCCCTCCAAAGGCTGGGGCAGGAGAATCTTGAATTTGAGGCCAGCCTGCACTCTGTAGTGAGGCCCTGTCACAGCAAACCCAGAAGTGAAAGGAAGCTCTAAGGCCCAAGTAACAGGTAGAGATTGTTTGAACCCCTAGGCTCTGTTGACTGAAATGTAAGTCTCCAGTGGCAGATGGTGCAAAGTTTTTGACTATTACAGAGCATGATATTTTTCCAAGAGAGTTCAACCATAGCACCGATTATTCGCAAATCAGTTACATGAGGTGTTTACCTTTAATGAACCAAGATCTTGTGCAGGTCTTCATTTCAAAATTAGCAGAATTGAAAACATGTTGACACCTCTTGTACAAGAAGGTTCAAAAGCCAGGCATGGTGATATGCTCCTGTAATCCCAGTACTTGGGAGGGTGAGGCAGGAGAATCTTTTGCAACTTTAAGACCAGCCTAGGCTACAAAGTGAGCCCAAGGCCAGCCTAAACTGCATAGCAAGACCTTGTCTCAAAAAGATAAAAAGAGAGAGAGAATGTTCTTAAGCAGTATTATTCAAAATAGCCAAAAAGTATGTATGTCTGTGCATGTGTGTATGAAGATTCCTAATGTCTTGCAACTGATGAATAGATTTAGTAGAATGAGGTGTATACATGTAACCGAATATTACTCAGCTATAAGAAGGAAATGAAGTGCTGATACCTGCTACCACATGAATGGACCTTAACACATTTCAGGTGAAAGAAGCCAGAGCCAAAAGGCCCTGTATTGCATGATTGTATTCTCAGATGGTCCTCATAATGAACCTCATAGTTTAACATCCTAGAGTACTAATTGGTCCCTATCATGACCACACAGCCCCGCTCTTGGCTACCACTCAGCATCACAAGATGCCCTACAAGGGCCTATTACTAGCCTATGAAAAGTTCAACATTTGCCATATGGTTTCTACTATGTATTGCTTTCACGCCATTTTAGCGTTTAAAAATTTTAAGTACAACTTAAAACTGTACAAAACATTCCAGGTAGGCAAATCCCCCATACATACAGAAAGCAGATTAGTTGATAACAGAAATAGGGAGTGACACTGTTGGGTACAGGATTCTTGTAGAAGTGGTGGAAATGTTCTGGAATAAGATACTAGTGATAGGTGGACAACATTGTAAGTATTCTAAAAACCACTAAATTGTAGTAGTTTTTATCTGAAGCTTTAAAGAATCTGTCATGTAAAAAGTATTGGGAAGCAGTATATAATATAATTAAACATGCATGATTTGGAATCCAACAAATGTGGTTTCCAGCCGGCTGAGTTTACATCATCAGCAAGCTCTTCCGCTGCCCTCGGTTTCCCCGCTACTGAAATGCCAGCGTCAGGCTGTGGTGCGAAGACTGAGCACAGCCAAGCACCTGCAGAGGTCTGCACGCTGCTGATGTCCAGCAGGTGTTCAGGAAGTCAGGATGCAGTTGAAGAGATTAAAATTTTCAATTTTGCATCCCCTGTAAATTCTTACATGGAACTGAAATGAACTTAGAGATGATCAAAAGACAAGAAGTTCAAGGTGAAAGTTTAGTGATTTGCTTATAAGATGAATCGCTTTCATTTCAGCTAAGCTGTTAAAAGCTCATCGTAATTATACTTCCCACGGGACATTTTAATGAGGCCACTTGTCTCTAGTTCTCAAGTACTTTAGAAGAGCCAGTTGAATGCAAAGTAAAACATCTCTGCCTTTTCTTTTCTTACTATCTTTATGTAATTTAAATGCAGTAACCATTCTCCTTTGGGAGGAAAGCAGCGAAACTTTAATGGTCTGATCAACAAAAGCCATTTTCCGTTTTTTTTTTTTTCCACTAACTTTTTGAAACTGTAGTACAAGAATGCTTTCTCTTTGTCTGCGCATCAGACTCATGTAGAGCTCACTGCTTGTTCCTCTTTCTGTGTGTGTGCCCCTCGGTTTCTCTCATTACCAAGTGCCGATGAGTCTTCTCCAGGGTTACACTGGCTGCTGTTCAGTCATCAGCATTCCGGTTTTCTTGTTGTTGTTTTTCTGGACATTTGTGTTTGAAAAAGTTGGCCACTGTTTGCGCACAGAATTCTAACTACACAGAAGAACTCAGTTCAGCAACCAGACGTGGATTTGTTAGGAAAATCCCTGCAGTGTGGAGTAATCCTTGTTTTTTGTATTTTATGGGTCAAGTCTAAGTTAGAGAACAAGGTTACAAAGTCTGTGTAGTAAGGAAGACTCTCTTTACTGTATTGTCTCCTTTCAGGATTTCAATGATGAGTTTTCAGATCTGGATGGAGTCGTTGGACAGAGAAGGCAAGATATGGAAGGCTACAGCAGTTCTGGCTCCCAGACTCCTGAATCTGAGAACTCCCGAGGTCTGGAAATGGTTGTACCTTAACTACAGTTGAAATCCCCACCCCCTCTCTTACAGACAAAAGCGTACCTTGCTTTCTAGTTAAGAGTTGAAGTAAATCTGAAAAATGGATAGCTTGAAAGCTCAAGGGGAGGGAATTGTGATAAAATTCCATTTGCTTGAAGACATTTAGCAAATATCTGTTCAACAGACGTAGTACTGAGGTGGCTGAGGAAGATCAACATGTAGCATTTTCTTTCCTCTTATTTTAGTAACAGTATTAGTTACTATAGCTGAGCTGGACATGGTAGTGCACGCCTGTAATCCCAGCACTTGGGAGGCTGAGGCGGGCCAATTGCTGTGAGTTGGAGGCCAACCAGCACTACAAAAAGTGAGTTCAAGGCCAGCCTGAACTGCATTGTAAGACCCTGTCTCAAAAAGGAAAAAAAAAAAAAAAAAATATCATAACTGAATACTTCTGTGTTGGTGGGGAATCCTTATATCATTACTTATTTGCTTGAGATTGGATTTCAATCCCCAGCCACCTTGGCCAGTTTCTAACAAGAGCCATTGATTTACCTGGTCTTCATGCAGATCAAAGGGTTCATTTGTATTGTGATTATCTCAATGTTTTTCGATGCATTAGGTAGCAAACTGAACCAGCCCTTTTGGCTTGTAGATTTCCGAGTGACAGAATCCCAGACTGTTCTGAACGTCTCCAAGACGGAAGTGAAACCTGCCCGGGCTGATGCCCACGTGAACAGAGCATCTGAAGGGAAAGCTAAGAGTCTCCCTGCACACGGTAAGAAACAGAATGTTTTTTAAAGAGGAGGGAATTTCTGTTTGTGACTTTTAATATATCCCAGTGTTTCACTTATGATTGCCTTTCACATTTTTTCCCTTCTTTACCAATTGTAGGTCTTCGCATATTAGCTCTCCTACATTCATTAAGCAAATAGTATCCAGTCTGGGGCTTTACTGTGGGAGATACATGGGAGAATGAACCTTAGTGGAGGTTACTTGATTATTCTGAACACTCAGAGATTATGATCTAAAAGTTTGTGATGGGCTAGGGTATCGCTCAGTGACGCAGCGCCTGCTGGGCAAGTGCAAGTTCCTGAGTTCGATTCCTGATACCCACAAAAAAAGAAAATTAGAAAAATAAAAATCAGCAACAAAACCCAAAATTACTCAGTTACTAATTTAGTAATTATTCTAATAACTAATTACAAGTTAGACTAGCATAAGAGCAAAGATGGTGATAATATCACTCTACATAACACAATACTTGATGTAGAAAAGACTTTCAGGAAATATATGTATTGAGTAAATTATGTCAGGAAGAATCGAAACTACTGGTTAAAATGGCAACTGGACAGCTTCAATTAGTATTTCCTCTAATTTCTTTTACCTGAGAATGGTTACCTATCTCAGGTCCCTCTTCCTGCTGGGATATTGCTAGATGAAAAGACAGTGTGCTGTGGTATTAAATTGTTGTTTTTCCCATCAGGTCCGTCAGAAACGGTTGGAATGTTGCCCAAAGTCAAGTCTCAGAAATGCCTGAGTCTCCACCATATCCTTATATTCTATGCCATTGTGTGAGTAAATATATTTCCTGTGCTTGACTTATGTGAATGACTCAATTCTCTGAGGGACACCAGTTTACATTGCCATGAACCATTGTAAATCTCAAATGTTTGTAATGTGACTCAAGTGTAGTCTGACAATTGTTTCCTACTTTGATTTCTTTTCTTTAGATATAGGTCATTTTTTTATAATAATTATGCCACATCCCTCAGAGGACTAAGTTCTGAGTGGATATTAGTTGAGAAATTGTTCGTAAATTATGGTTGTTTTTGTTTTTGGGTAACGGGAATTGAACTCAGGGCTTCAAGCTTACCAAGCAGGTGCTATGCCCCTGAGCTATGGCTCTGGCTCTGTTCTTGTTTTGAGACAGTGTCTTGCTATGTAGTTCTAGCTGGCCTTGAACTCATGGCTCAAGCTGGCTTCAAACTCATGGTGATTCTCCTGCCTCAGCTTCCTGAGTGCTAGGATTACAGGAGTGCGCCAGTATATCCTGCTGCTCTATAAATTATGAAGTGTCTTTTTCTCATTGCGCATTTTCCATCTTCACTGTCCTGAGAGAGAAGCCAAGATGTCTTCAAACTGTCACCCCTCTCTTTCCTGAAAACTGGGCACTGATAGTTTTTACCTGCCTGTCACCTTCCTGTAACCACTTGCTCTTCTGGAAATACCTGGCCCCACGCTAGTCTGTTCCTCCCACAGAACAGGATGTACCTGGTCCAGTTTCTAGAAAAAGCAAGGCATGTGTAAGTCACCAGAGGATGAGACCAGACCCTCTCTGCCCAGGCTGCTCCGTCCATCAGGGGCTAAGCCAGCAGGAAAGAAGAGCCTGGCCTGGAGTCCAGCCTGGGGGTGGCCCGTGACCACCCTATTACAATGGCTGTTATTTGTGAATTGAGTCTTAGGCTGCGGATGTTAATTAAGTCTTTTAGCTGGAAAGTTTTATGACAAGCATCAACTTGTTTTTCAAACAAATCTTTTAAAATTTTCTCATGCCCAGTTATTTTGGAAAATGCATCAAACATATGAATGACATCGGCTGAGTTTATTGTATTTTGAGTGTCAAGTCCTGGCCGTGAACCTGTTGAAATTTCTGTGTCCCTTTCCAGGGTCTGTGCACTAATCATCTCGACCTTCTACATGAGCTACAGAATCAGTGCTCTGGAGGAGCGGCTGGGCTCCCTGACATCCATCATGGAAACCCACAGTGCTGAGTAAGACAGTTCCCTGCCATGTGGTCACTGCTGCTCAGAGGGGTTTAATTACTGACCCAGGCTTAGCAGACATTGAGAACACCATATGCTTGGTATGAGACCTTCAGTCAGGTGCATACGTGGAAAGTAAATAGGTTCCTAGAAGTGAATGACCTAACCCTGCTGCTACAGTGTCATCAGTAATAAGGCAAGACACACACCCAATTGTTCATTTGCCTTGCTGTACCATCCTAAGTTGTGGCCTTGGCTGATACTATTGACCTGTATAAAGTTATCACTATAAAAATGGCTGTGAATCAGTTAATTATAGAAAAGAAGCAATTCACTTAATTCAGCACAATTCATATATAACTCTTTGTACTGACTTATTTACACAACTTTGCCCACTATACAGATTCATGTGACAAGTGATTCATTGACTGTGAAAATTTATCAGTCACTTTTTTAACATGCCTGACCCAATTAAATCTATTCAGACATAATGCCCTCTCCTTTAAACTCATTTATGTGAAGATTTTGACATACTGCCTAAAAAGTAAAATAAGTATCTCATCTCTTAGCATACTTTTAGCTCCTTTTAAAGCCAACATAGAATACCTAGCTTTTGCTAGTGTTGCTATCAGAATGCATACATACATGTACAAATACAACTTTTCCCTCATTATAGTTTTATCCTCTCCTTATAACAGAGCTGTTACTGCCATTTACAAATGAGGAAACAGACCCAAAAATAATTAAATGGCATGGTGATACATATCTATAATCCCAGCATTAGGAGGCTGAAGCAGGAGGATTACCTCAAGTTTGAGGCCAGCCTGCCTGCACTACACAGCTAGATCATGTCTCAAAACAAATAAATTAGCTTTATGTCTCACAAGCTGTAGTAAAGTCAAGTTTCTAATTTGGTCTGGATAACTGCAAAGACTGAGTTTCCCTGCAGCTCTCCAGACTTAATGTGTGTCAGAATCAGCTGAAGGCCACGTTAAACAAACTGCAGGACCCATCCCAGAATTTCTGATGTCACAGATGGAGGGTACAGGTGATGCTGATGTGCTAGTCAGGGGTTTGCACTTTGAGAACTACAGATTTACTCCACTCTAGGGTTTGTTTCTTGGGTTTTTTTTTTTTTTGTTGTTGTTGTTTGTTGTTTTTTTTTTTTTTTTTTTGTACCAAGGATCAAACTCACAACATCACACTTAGCAGACAAGCACTTAAACCACTGAGCTAAATCCCTGGTTCTAGGGTCTTTTTTATTTTCTGCCTAAATCACCTATAGGCCTTACTCTGTAGCTGACATGTATTGTATGCTGGCATACAGATTAATTAAGAATGCATTTGAAACAAATCTAAAAACCTAATAAAAGTTTGAAGCAGATTTATACCCTTCCCTTCTCACCTTCTTCAAATGTTGATACAGTGAAGAGGTGAGTACAGATTACTGCAGATAGCTAGTTCATTATCACATAAGGAAGTGGTTTTATTTTTAAAATATACCTCCGACCATCTTACTGCATAATTAACTTGGTGATGAGGGGGAAATTCCAGTAACAGTAGAATATTTAGTCTACGCTGGAAGCAGCCAACCCAGGACAACTCAGTACAGTCTGAGAAAGAATACTTCATGGGAAAAGTCTAAAGATCACATATGTCATGAAGCCATGGAACACCATGAAAGGAAGAGCTGTTGGTAAGGCGCTGTCCTAGGACCTGAGTTCTTCATTGCCGGAACCATCCTCTGGAGTCCGTGCATACCCCCAGCCTTGTGAACACATTAGCAAGTGGCAAGCTCTTTGGGGAGTGCTGCTTTTCAGAATCTCATGGTGGTGTTAGTTCGCTGGGTCTCAGATCCTCATCTAGAAAACAAGGGTTTAGATTGTGTTTCCATGAATGAAGGATAAAAAACACTTTATTTCACTGCCAGCAACTAGACATCATTCTTAAAATTTAGATAATCATTAAAAATTGACTAATGTGTCTCTGTCAGAAATGGACCCTATAAAAAATAGACCAGACACACCATCAAAACAGTGGGCTGGGAATTGAGCTCAGCGGCATAAGCACCTGCCTCGCAAGCACGTGGTCGTGAGTTCCATCCCCGGTACCAATTAAAAAACAAAACAAAAAAATCTTGAACAGCCAAAATGAAATGACAATCAGGAAATGTGGAGATAGTAACCACCATGGTTCTTAACTGTAGCATAAAAGTGCTGTAGACTCTTTCTCCAGAGATGTACTTACTATATTCTCTAGATTCTCTAGTGTTGGTTTTATAGGACCCTAGCCAGAAAACCACACCATGGACAATCAAATGGTGAATACTTCCTGCCCCTACTGGTTTATAAGACAAGGGCAATTATACTTATAGGGTAAGTTCAAGGAAGGAGCAAGTCTCATATTTCAATGGAAATCTGATTACATAGATAAAAGTGTTCCTAACTTTCTAACATAAAAGGGTCCTTCCTCCTCTTAAAAGAAATCTGCATGTGACTGAAAAGAACAGTAATTCTTCTGAATCTGTTTTGTGCTAACAATAGAGAGAGGATGATAGGAGTTGATCAAAGGAGCCTGCAAAACCACATGCTGAGAGTAATTGTCTGATTTTTGTTTGGAAGCCAAGTCACAGCTTGTCCCCTGGAACAAAAATGGCTTAGGAATTTTCTAGCTGAGCTTTTCAGAATGAACCCCTAAACATCAAGTCTGGAGTCACAGATTACTAGTGCCTTTCTGTTACTAAGAAGTGAAATGCTCACGATTCTGTTAGAGACAACCTAGTTCTCCGTTCAGCTTTAAAATGTGCTGATTCCACTTCTTGTGTTGCATCCTACCCATAGGGATTGTCTTTTTGCTCTTGCAGACAGACACCAGCATCTGGCCTGAGATCACAAGTACAGTTAAACGTGGAGGTCCTCTGCCAAGAGCTCACGGCTAACATAGTAAAGTTAGAAAAGGTAACTTGCTCTATTCCTGTGGATTGTTGTAGGCTAGCAGTGACACCCTCAAATGACCAAACCTGGCTAGGCAAGGAGGAGGCGTGCATAGTAAAGGTGAAAAAAGTATTTTTATTTCCATAAAGAAATGAGTTTGGATCCCATTTTCTTTTATAATTCATGGCCCCTAGTAGTCTGTCTTTTGTGTTTCCTCCTGAACAAGATGTATTTCTGTATACCATAAAGATCAGTGATAAGCACCTGCTGACACCAGGGCTCTGTGGAGGGACAAGTTAGAGAGGGAACTGGGGACCAGTGGCCCAGTCAGGCACACAGCTCTGACTCCACCTGGACTGGCTCTTATCATACATAGAACCTTGCATTCAGTCCCTGTTAGAACTGGGAGACAGGTGTCATTGCTCCTGTCTGATAGGGAAAGAACAGACTGTCAAATTTCCAGACAGATCAGTCCTGTTTTAATTCTCACAATTCAGCCTTAGACCATGGATAAGACCACTAATGTAACTCTACCTCCAAAAGTCTCTTCCTAGAGCAAATCTGTCTTTAGCTTGTGGCATTCTTAGAAGGCGATAGGATCAACAAGAGGAAGAAGACAGACATGTAAGAAATATCCCAGAGGAAGATCTAAACAACAGGGCTTCTTTTCTCCTTTTAATGTTGCTCTTTTCATCTGATAACTACTTGGTTTTTACCCTAGTCCCAAAGGCAGGGTGTGAACAGTGAAGTATCTGATCAGAAGTGTTACTTCAAGTGCTCAGTATTTGGCAGCTTTACGTGACAGTGCTGTCCTGAGAAGAGACGTGAAATACAGATGAGCAAAATTACCCCTGTGGTCCTACACTAAATGTTACCTAGTTTTAACAGCAAAGGGGTTTCCAGACTACTCTTCTAAACCAAGTCAGGATGAGGACGAGTAATTGATGCTGATCTAGGGGCATACATCGGAACTTTTCTCTAGCATCCAAAATCAATCTAAAGAAGTTCTGAGTCAGCTACCTAAATTTTTTTTTCTTAAAACATTAGACTTTGAAAATTGAAGATTTTTTTTTCAAATAAATGCTTACTAATGTTGCCTTTCATTCTGTCCTAAATTGGCGTAGTTTTCAGTCTGTTCACTGTGACGTGCAGATGGTACTCCTATCAGAAACACACACAGCCCTTCTGCCTTCTGTGTTCCCGCCATCCTGCCAGGCCTGGCCAGGACACAGCATTTTGTAATTTGGAAAAGCAGGTCCACAGCTAGCTGTCTTCTGCAGGGCTTTAGACCAAGCCCAACTGGATTGCTAGGAGGGCTCTCGGTGATACCAGTGGAGATAACCTGTGTCCCAAAGCAGAATCGATAAAAAATGTTATGAGATCAAAAGTACAGGTTGATACACACATGTCTCAATGGGATCTAAATATTAAGAGTCACCAGGCCACACTGCAGCTCTTCAAAGTCTGCCCTTCCTCAGAGACAGGCAGCAGTTGCACAACACAGCTTGAGCGTGAAACAGCAGGTACATGCTGGGGAAAAGCTGGAGAGCCAGAGTTCTCTCTGTTTCCGTTCAGGGACTGGTCATGACGTAATCTGGTTATGGCTTCCCTGTTTCTGCCCATAGGGTCACTGCCCTGGCAGTAATCCTCATTGAAAGTCTGCAAATAATTTCTGCATCCTCCTTCCCCTTTTCACGAACTGATGGACTAATCTACTGCCAAAATTTTATGATGCCTGCTCTCAAATGTCTTCTAAAATTCTTTTACCATGGATCCTATCCTGGTCCATTTGGGCCCCTGATATCCATGAGTAATATGAAATTCAATGTCAGCATGGGTTTTCTTTGTATTTCTCTAATTGCTACTGAAATTTAGATCTACTGAAATTAAAATTAAAGCCTTTGAGTTTTCTTCTGTAAATTGATCTTTATTTTACTTTGGGAATTTTGGGGCTTTTTTAATTAAGTGTGTTGAACATATATTTTGAGTCTCTTGTTTCTTTTCTGCCTTCTGCATCCTGTTTTTCCTGTAGCAGGAATGTGGGGGGAAGCAGCGCTTATTGTGAATAAATAAATAGTTATTTGCTGAGCACTGGAAGTGATGTTGATGACAGCATGGTGTAGGGAGCAGCGCACATGCTGGAGTCATACTTTACACCTGCTCTTATCACCGACTACGGGAGTAAGGCATCGTGCTCGGAGCTCTCTCTGCCCTCAATTCCATGTGTAGGGCCTGCTTTTGGTGATGGTGTGTGAGAATTCCTGGCACGTACACATTAGAGCCTTTCTCTTTGCTTGCTGTGAGCATTTCTGTAGGACATCTTTCTACAAAAGCTGTCATGGCCATTTTCCATTGCTACAGTTGACCCACAGGCTGAGTAATTTACAAAGTGTGAAACTACATGTTCTAGAGGCTGGAAGGCCCCAGGCGAAGGGGCCGTGTACAGTGAGGGCTTTCAGGCAGAGGACAACTGCAGAGTTCTGAGGCACGAGGAGGCATCGTGGTGGGATGGCAAGCCTGCCGGTGCAGGTATCTCTCCTTACCTAGAAAGGCACAAGTGGAATCCTGGGTAAAGGTCTCAACTCTAAATGCTCTTAATATAGGATTAAGTTTCAACATGAATTGGTCATAGCAGAATATATTCGTTTCGTTTAATTCATGAGGTTTTCTGTTCCCATGATAATATTATTAGGATTGATTGATTGTTAGCATTTTGTTGTTCTGTTTTTTACAACTCATCTGTTTGGCAGATATTTACTGAGAGGATTTTTAATGCCCAACACTGGGCTGTAGTCTTTAGATCCAAACCTGCAACGTGGTTGATCCCTGTGCTGTGAAGTTCACAGGCTTCTTGGGGTTATTGGATGCTCATCAGCATGATGCACCATTTTTCTAAAAAAAACCCAACAAGTGGGTTTCTGTCACAGCCCCATCTCGTGTTGTCTCTGAAGTCATCTGGTGCTGCCATTGCTTGTTCTTTATCTTCCATCTCATTTCTCTGCCTTTACCAACATTTGCATCTGTCTCCCACCCTTTGTTTTATCCCTTTTTTCATTTCAGAGCAGATTGCCAAGAGTTTGTGTCCTTGAAAAAGCATATGCTTGCCTGATTTATACTTAACCTTTTTATTCAAGCTAGGTTAGTCTTCAGCACATACAAGCCGCTGAAGATAATGTCTTAAAACATGCTATTCTGTTTACTGACTGAAGCTTCTCTTTTATTATTTCAAGATACAAAACAACTTACAGAAACTCCTAGAGAATGGCAACTGATGCCTAGTTTCCTGGGGCTGACTAATATCTCACATTCCTCCGAAGAAGGTGCTCCCAAGGAGTTCCTGGTAAGCGTGCCCTGCTGGTCAGAGGTGCCAATGGATGAGAACCCAGACATGGTTGCACTTGAAGGTCTGCAGCTCAGAAAGAGGGGAAGGGGAATCACTTCGCTGCTTGTGCAATAAAAGTTGACCTTGTCTTTGAGGAAATTTTGCTGCTACCGTCTGAAGAAAACAGACCCATCTCTGGAGGTCTTCCAGCGAGTACTCTGGAATGATCGTGGTTTGGTGGTTTTGTTCACTGTGTCAGCAATCACTCCACTCTAGGTCTGCTTAGTCCTCCCCACCCTCTCTACATCCTTCTGCAGGTCATTGAAACTAAAGGTTCATTATGTACCAATGACCTCTATATGGTCCTTTAAAGAATTAGCCACGAGTCTTTCTTTCAAAGGCAGTAAATGTCTTTGGATGGACAGACTTGCTACAGGCAAATGCCATTCTTTCATCCTGTCAATGTTACCCTCTGTTTAAGTCATCTACCTATGTACCTTAAATTCTGTGTTCAATTTCTGTAAGAATGTCAAGCAAAGAGTATTAAACTATCCCAGTTTGGTTTGGTTTGGTTTGGTTTGATTTGGTTTAGTTTCTGTGACTAATATGTAATTGGAGTGATTCTAACCCACCTCAGGTCAAGAATCTGTGAGGCAGAAGACTGAAATACTACATTAAACTTACTTTGACACCAAAACTAATCTTTAAACCAAATGTTGTAATAGTGCTTTAATAAAAGATGAAGAATACTGAATTGTTAGGATTATAGGTGGACTATTGTAGCAGTTTTGAAACAGGACATCTGTATTAGGTGCTGGAAGTCATTACAGCATGACAAGTGTGTCTTTCTCCTTTGCTGACTAAAATAACTGGTGGTTTGCTAACTTTATGCACCATGTAATTTGAGTGGGTTTTATTAATAATTATTTACAGAACCATAAGATTTGTAGTACAAAGTATATTCTATATCTATAATGCATTTTATAATCATTTCTATGAAATGTGTTTTGTTTAATCAGATAAGCTAATATGTGAATTGGTTACATCATTTGTATTTGTTAGCTCACTGGACAACAGCTGTGTCTGGTACACCACCAGCTTTTAATAAATACTCCATGGTTAAAGAACCCTGCTAACACTGTGTTTTGTCAGGTTGTAAATCTTACTGTGCTTTGTAATGCCTTCCCCACCCTTCCACTGCTTCCATCTTTATATTTCTGTCTTCCCAAATATTTATTTTAAAATCAAAAATTATTTAAGATCTTGGGTTACAATGATATCAGAAAGAAAATTAACTTTTCAATCAGAAAACCAAATCATTGTAGGTTCGATTCCACATTTAATGAGTTGTGGGACCCCCAGGCAAGTTCTTTGGTCATTTATTGCCCATTTTATGGATGAAGCCAATGCTGAAAATACCAAAAAAAAGTATTATCGTGAGGTTTAAATATAACAATGCAACTAAAGCACATAGTGTTGGACATAATAGGTACCACTGTCATTATTTTAAAAAATACTTGAGTTTTATTATTCAGAGAATCAGAATGGGTCAGCCACTTATGCAGAATAATTCAGTAACTGTGTGAAAAGCCTTAAAAAGTTCAAATTTCACACTTGATGATCTGCCAGCTAGGAATTTGGAACTCCAAAGGGCTTGGGTGGCTGTGCCTCTACAGTACTTCAGGTGGTTGTAGCTTCCATGGCCTCTCTTTTGGGCTGACTCTGCGCCCTTGTTGTAGTTTTCCTCAGATGACCCACGTTCCAGGTTCTCCAAACTTCTGGGATCTCCACTGCACTTTTGGCTTCACACTCCCAGCTTCATACTCAGCTCTTTCAGGGGTACACTGCATGACCCCCCAGGCCTTCTGAATTCTGGGTGGAAGACTTCCTGACCCTACAACTCTTCCATTCTGCATACACCTAAAACTAACACCATGTGGCTGGTGTCTAGGTCTGCTGCCAACTGGAGCAGTAGCCAGGCTTCCCTCTGTCTTGTCTGTAGGGATCTGGGGCCTGGATTACCAAACACTGTGTATCTAACTCTAAGGAACAAATTGTCTAGGCTGCCACCATTTTGGAACATGGTGCTCTGGGCCTTTTCAAAGCAAAATCTTTCACTTTGGCAGTTCTGAGGCTCCAAAGGATAGAGTCTTCCTGTGTCTTGTGATGCTCTGAGGCCATCTTTTATATTTGCCTGTTCCTACTCAGCTATCAAAATCTCTGTTCTATCTTTCCAGTCCAGGCTTTACTGGTGCTTTCTTTCGGCCAAACTCACATTTTAAATCATTCTGCTGACATTTTTGCTTTTTGATTCTCAATGTAAATCTGGCTAAAAGCCCCCAACAGTAGCCATGCCACAGTCTTAACATTTGACTACCTTGAAATTTCTTCTGCCAGATTAATTAGTCTGCCACCCTTAATCTCAGTATCAGGCAAAGTCTGTGGCATGAGCAAAATGCAGACACGCTTTCCGCCAAACCATAACACAAATCACCTGGAGTCCAATAACCAAGCAGCCCTCTTATCTTCTAAGCTCTGACCAGAATCTCCCATACAGTACAACCCAAGCCGTTTGCACTGTACTTTTTCATCGAGTATCTCCAAATGATTCAAACTCTCCCCATATACCATTCTGAAAGGCTCCTGAACCACATGATCAGATATGTCACAGCAATGATTCCACTTCTCTGATACCAAATTCTGTTTTAGTCACTTTTGTCATTGTTCAAAGTACTCCACAACCAAAGTTAAAGGGGAAAAGGTACATTTATTCACAGTCTGTGACCTTTTCAATCTACATTCAGTTGGTTCCAAGAAGGGTTGCATGTGGCAGAGGGCAACAACTCATTCATTCTCCCATTGGGGAACAGTAACAGTGAACTCTATTCCTTCCAGTCTGCACATGTATGATTCACAATAGAAAATAAAATCTTCCTCAAGACTCAGAGCTGGGGATTGCTGGCCTCAGGTGAAAGCTTTAGTGAGTGCAGTAGAAGGCCGTAGACACAGGAGCAAAGTAAGCCTGGTTGTCGCTAAAATATCTGTGCAGTCTGGTCTGAACACCATCATCCTAAGAACATTATGATTTAATTTAACATTTTACCATTGTTTGATTTACATATAGTAAACTACACAATTTACAGTTTGATAAACATTTTGATGTGCTAGATGGGGTTTTATGCATTAAATTTTTTATTATGTATTTGCATAATGATTACATTCATGGTGGTGAGTTAGTACATACAATTCTTTTTAAACCCCTCCTCCCCATCCCTTTCCCTTTTGTAAAAGATCTGTCATCCTGGGCAAATTCTGACAGAGGTATGTACTAGTGAAGCCTTCCTCATGGTCAAGATGAAAAGTATGTCCATTGCCTCCCAGAGAAATCCTTTTGCAGTCCATTTCCCATGCCCTTCCCGCATTTCCTTGCTGAGCAACCACTCATTAAGAAGATCAAAGAATTTGTATCTTCTAGAATTTTATTTAAATAGGATCATATTTTTGTCTGGACTCTTTCAACATTATTTTAATATTTATTTTGTATAATTGAATATCTCCTTTCTTTTCATTATTCAATAGTATTTCATTGTATGCATGTACCACAAATTATTCACCTGTAGATGGACAAAGGGACACTTCCAGCTTAATTTATTGAAAATAAAGTTACTATGGCCTGTGGTACAAGTTTTGTGTGGATATACACTTTCATTTCTCAAATGGGTCATGTAATAGGTATATGTTTAGCTTTCTAAGGTAACAGTGAACATCTGTCCTAAAGCACACCATTTTACTTTCCTACCCACAGAGTATAAGGGTGCCAGTTCCTCCACATCAACATTTAGTATCAGCCTTCTAAATTCTAGATAGTCTAATATAGGTGTGTTATGGCATCTCATTCTAGTTTTAATCTGCATTTCCCTGATGATTATAGATGCTGCTAGTCTCCTTATGTGCTTACTTGCCATTTGTATATCTTTTTTTTTTTTTTTCTTCAGTCCTGGGATCAAATCCAGAGCCTTCCACAGATAAGGCAAGTGCTCTACCAGCTGCATATTGTCCTTAGAAAGGGTCATTCAAGATTTTCACCTTTCTATTAACTGGCTAATTTTCTTAACAGTTAAGTTTGAAATTTTTGTAGATATTTTAATAAAATTATTTTGTCATATATTTGATTTGCAAATGTTTTCTACCCGACAAGGACTTGTCTTTTTATTCTGTTTATGACATTCAAAGAGACATTCTCTACTCTTATACTGTGTTCTGCAAACTCCAGCTGCCTGACTTATTCCCAGCTTCATATCTGCAAGGAGACAGAGTCTTCCTTCAATGCCCCACAGCTTGGAAACTCTCCAAGGCAGTAAGTGAGGCAATCATAGGACTCATCTCAATTATTTCTCTTTCCTCTCATATCACAGTCATGGCTTGTGTTTAGATGTCCCCCCAAAGCCTCATGTGGTCAAAGGTGGGGATGTTTCAGAAGTGGCTAAATGTGGAGTGAGGGACTGACTCACAGTGCAGTGCTAGAATTAAGGTGTGAGAGCTTTCTGCTCTAAGGGACACAATACTGGCTACAGTTAAGGGAGGAAAGAGGCTTGCTGCTAGTTACTTGTCGTTTGTCACCTGCTTGCTTTTGCTGTCTTATGCCTGCCGTGAACCGTTTCTCCTCCACAGTGCCCTTCTGCCATGCTCCTCTGCCTTGGAGACAGGCACCTGTGCACTGTGAGCCAGGTAGAATTATTTACTAGGTAACAGAAAAGGGAAACATCACTAAGGTAGCAGGGGGGTGGCAAGGTAAGCTCAGAGGAACAAGAGGAAAGTGGTGGGAAAGCTTCAGGGCCCCACTGGAAGGCCTCCCACAGCTCAACTCAGACCTTGGAAGGAAGGGAAGAGCCAGCAGGTGCGAGTGTGTCAGAGCAGGCAGAAGAAGGCTCTCCCTGGGAATGCTGAGGAGTCTGCAGACTGGGTTCAGCTTCTGACATCAGCTCCTGCTGTCGGAGCGACGTGAGAATAGGTGAAGCCCTGGGGAACGGGAATAAATCGGGACGTTTTAGGGAAACAAGAAGGAACCGTTCCTTCTTCACCAATACCAGTGATGGCCAACCTGTTAGAGACGAGTGCCCAAACTGCAATCCAGAACCCACTTACTTATCACAAAGTGCCAATGCTGTAATTAAACCTGAATACTGAGATTTTAGTTTAGAAAAAAAAAAAAAAAACCACTCATACATAGAAAAAAACAAATGTCTTCTTTTTCTCATTCTTGATACAAAATACCTAGCACTCAAAACCAAAGGAAGAAAGGTTTCATTGGTTGACAGTTTGTGGAGGTTTCAGGTTATAACTGGCTGGTGCCAAGGCAGGGTGGCACGTGGCAGAGGGACATCACAGAAGAGACATACTTCATGGCAAGCAGTAAGCAGTGACCTTCTTTCTGTCCCTTGCATCTTATGCAGACTACTCACCCCGATTTGGGGAGGCACTCACACCCAGGGTGGGGCAGTCCTAATCCTCATCGCACCATGAGTCAACTCCAGCATCCACACCCCAGAGCCAGCCGCCTCTGAAAAGCCCCACGTGTCGTCACAGGAGGCTTTGGGGAGAGGTCTAGATACAAGCATGACAACAAGTAACACGCATGCCGGAGTTTCCCCACCGTTGGACCACACTTCATGAACACTTTCCCTCCCTCTGCCTTTCTTTTTTTATTTTTTTTTTTTTTGTCTTTTTTCCTTTTTATCGGTACCAGGGATCGAACTTGTCGGTGTCGCTCCCGGCCTGCAGGAAGAACACGCGACAGATTCTGACGGTGTGCAATCTTGCCTTTATTTGTCTCCGCGTGGGCCCCGCGAGGCCTCCGCTCTGCCACCAGCCCTTTCTCGCCGGTGGACTTTCTCTATCTCTCTCTGTGCTTCTCCCTCGTGGCGGGAGAGGCATTCACTTTTATAGGGTAACAGTGGCCAATCAGTTCAAAGCGCGTGATGCGGGCTGACTGGCTAACATCAGTTGTTGCTAGGCAGACTATCTTACAGAGCGGGTTGTTTAAGTCGCCAGGGCAATCAGGGGGCAGGAAGCAGGCGCCAACTTGGCTCACTCGATGGGAGGGGTAACTTAGCTCAGGCTTTGCTCT